ACGTTCTCTTGTGATACCTGCGAAAGTATTCAGTATAATTTCCCGTAAGATTTTCGCGGACTATCTCATCGATTCCTCATATATTGTGTGCTGAGACTGAAACTTTTCACCTCGAGCAAAGGTCCGTCGCACGGCCCAAACAAACATGGCGAGCAACAGAGCTTCTTGTATATGTCCGTGTTAAAACACACGAAAGGACCCTAAAGTACACTTCACTCTGACTGGGCAGAAAAACACAAAGATTTTCTGGCACCAATCAAGATGCCAGAACGACTGCGACCCTTTGGAACTAGTCTTGTAAGACAATGTCCCCAGGGGCTCTTCTGCCCTAACTTGAAATCGACTCACAGCCCCTGCGTCTCCGAGGATGGGTTTGATCAGGATCAAGGACAAACTGTGAAACTTTAGAGAGACGGAGAGAAAGAGACTTGGAACATATCTTATAATCGACATTTAGTAAGGAAATTGGTCTCCAATTTTTAAGATCTTTGCGATCCCCTTTCTTGAAAATGACTCAAGTATTAGTAGTTTTCATAGATTCGCACATCCCTCCAGCTTGAGAGCATGCATTGAATACCTGGCACAGATATGGACCCAAACGGTCCCAGAACTTTGAGTAAAACTCGACCGAAAGGCCATCAGGGCCGGGAGCTTTGTTTGTGTTCATTTTATTCAGAGCGACAGTAATTTCCTCGAGCGTCAAGTCACCTTCGGAATAGGATGCCTGATCGGACGTGAGTTGACGAGACAAGGAAGATAAAAGATCGGTTTTCATCGCGACATCTACTGGCTCTTCGGAAAAGAGTCGAGAGTAAAAATCTACGTGCGCTTTCGCAATTTCCTCTTGAGAGAAGACCTCATTGCCGTCTGAATCGTACACTGAAGAGATTTGCGATTTTGCGCTTTGCTTCGCTGTAAATTAAAAACATGTCGGCTGGGGCGTTCGTCCTCTTCCGACCATTTGGCACGACTACTAATCAATTCCTGCTTTTTTGGTACGGAGAACTTTCAGGCGACTTTCCGTATTGGATATATAATAGGAGACGGTTGTGTCACCATTAACTAAACGTTGCCGAAGTCGAATTAATTTATTGGTTAAGAAAACTTCATCTCTATGTAACCGTCTCCTTTTATTACGGGAAAAGGAGATCGCTTCTTCCTTAACGGATCGTTTTAGAACTCCCACAAATCCTGGATGCAAACGAAAGCATGTAAGAAACGTATGTAATCATCGATTAAGTTATTTATAGCAATGCAGAAATCTTTGTTTTTCAAAACAGATTTGTTAAAATTCCATACACCAGAACCTCGTTTTATGCTACTAGGAAAGTAAAAAACAAGGGAGACAAATTCATGATCAGAAAATGAACAAGGAAAGATATCAGACTTCGTCTCAGGAGAGAGCAAATCCTTGGAGATGAGAAATTTATCGAGTCTACTCGCAATTGTTCAGGTGGAATTGAACCACGTAAATTGTCTTTGATTAGGGTGCAATTTACGACATACATCGAGAAGAGTGAAAGTACTTTCAATGACTCGTAATCTTTATGAATAGAGACGTTGCCCTTAAATCTGTTTAGAGCGTTATCATAATAGTTAAAATCCCCGCCAATGAGAGTCGCCGAGCATGGAAAAAAAAGTCATGTAGAGAGTTGAAAAAAAGTTTTCGTTCAGATGGATTGGTGGGAGCGTAAATATTTACTAAGTTCAGATCAACATCGTTGGTCCTGATCAGGATACTGACGATACGATCGGGCGAGTCTTCCTTCCAAGATATGACTTCATCTGAAATTCTAGGGGAAATCAAAGTTGCCACTCCGCCTTGTCGGCCGATGGCAGGGAACCAGAAACTACGTCCCGGGCATCGATGGGGCACGGCCTTTATCAGAGACTCAGAACTAATAAACGTCTCTTGTACAAAGCAAAAATCACAAGACATCTTTTCAATTGAATGAAATAAATAATTGTGGGTGAGGGGATTCCCCATGCCCATCGCATTGATAGTTAATAACTTGAAGGATGTTTAGGAAGAAAGACTTTGAAATCTTGGAAAAAAGACTCACTTAAACATTAAAAAGGCTTACTTGGATTTTCTTGACCTGTTTCTCCCCTTTTTCGAGGTAGGGGTCGAGAGTTCAGAAGATTTTCTTTTCAAATCATGAGTGGTTTCCGTATCTTCTTCGGGTTTATCAGAAATGACCAGTGGGGGAGTATGTGATGCAGTAGGCACAGGGATTTAAGAACTTGTACGAGGCTTTCCAGAAACAAGTGTTGCCGTGGTAGGTTTCCGTGAACAGGCTAGAGATGATTCATCAGATAGCTTAGCAGGTGTTCGGCGGGAAGGTGGTTTAATGACAGATTTCATTGAAGCAATAAGGCCTTGTGAGGTAATAAGTGGTGAGTCCGTAGGAGTAGATTGAGATGACGGTTGAGAAGAGTACTTGGAGAAATGAGGTTGTTCAGGTTGAGAAGGTTGTTCCGGTTGAGAAGATTGATCAGTTTCATCAAAGTCGTCAGGCGGGGGGAAGACGGGAGGCAAATTTTCAGCAAGTTCTTCGTTGACGGGTGGATTTGGCGGAGGAAAATTTTCAGAAGATCGTTTGGGTGGAAGAAGAACAGAGGCAAGTGGAGCATTTTCGTCAATAGAACCATGGTCGTCTGATACGTCAATATTTACTTTATCCTTTTCATCGGTTTCGGCGCAGTGAGTGAGTGGAAAGACCCAAGAGTATAGGGGAATCCTTGTTTACAATATTTGCCTCAATAGCATAAGCAATTCAGTTTCTGATGGAGCTAAAAATGAATCAGTTCTGAATATCGAAAGGTCAAAGTACGATTAACTCGGCCGATGATTACGAGCTTGATGCATTGAATACTTTTTGTGCAACACGGGTTTAAAAACTCAAAATTTTACGTAGAATGTATGAGCTCATTAGCGCTTTTGCCACCCAGAAATTTTGCAGTTTTTGATGGACTATTTCTCCTTGAATATTACACCCAAAGAGCTAAAAATTTCACCATGTACTAAGGTTTTCTAGCTCTTTAGCTTCCTTAATTCAATTTGTATCTAACACGCTTCCTTTTTTACGCAAAGCCGTATGCAAATGAGCAAAAATGTAAACAATGACGTCAGCATGAATCCGCCTTTTCACAATTGATCCTCAATTGGCCTTCCTCTTTACATATACAGCATAGAACGGGGCGTTGACACTCTGACGCCTCGTGGCCAATGCCTTCGCAATTAAAGCAAATCTTGTTGCGGCAGCCATTAGCAAAGTGTCCAGAACAATTACATTTGCGGCAAATAGGAACTTGGCCATTATGTCGCAGGAAGATCTGAAACTTTCCAAATCTCGGGATAGGTTTAAAAACCCGAACACGGTAGTATCGAAAGCCATTGTAAATAGCGGGAGCATAAGAATGCTTACCTCTCCGGTAGTATAACACCTCGCAGTACGGTGCTAGGCGTTTAATTATCGACAAATCTGATAGTTCAAAGGGCGCGTCATAGATGGTGAGAAATGTCAACGGTTTGTCAACATCTTGTAGGGCGTAGTTTTCTGAACCAAGTTTTAGAGAATTGAAGCTTAAAAACCTTTCTTTAGCGGTCTCAGACTTGAAAGTCACGACGACTTCTCCATTAAGCTTTCGTTGGAAGCATTGTATGTCGGTAAATTCAGTGTTCAGCGCCGAAAAAGCGTCGAAAACGGAACGAGCAGTCGCTGATTTAGACGGTGTAGAGAAAGCGGTTCTCGGCCGCCGCGGCATGTTGTTTTCAATAAAAGCAAAACCCCGCTCGTTTGGTACATTATTTCCAATATTTCCAGAGGTACGTGCAGCGTTCGACGCACATGATTCTCCATTTACGATCGGCGAGTCTTCAATGGTTCCATCGTCGACTAAATTTTCTAATAATCCGTCGGTATTCAGACCTGAATCCATAAATCACACGCAAAGCAAACGAAAAAAAGGCCCAAAGGCCAGACTAACCTTGAATCAATAAAGTGAAACTTTGGCTAATCAAGGAGCTTAAAATCGCACGTCTGAATTAGTATTATTTCGGCCTTCTGGGCCTCATCAGTGTAGTTCTGTGAAGCTATAAAGCCACCCCAAATAATCCCACATTTGTGGTACCATCTAAGCCATGCCACAGTGCTCAAACTAGAAACTAGTGAGTTACGCACAATTGCACGACATGACTCATCCTAGTAGAGTGCTCGATTTCGACATAAAAGCAAAGCTCTATAGCGATTAAACTATTAACCAAGAAACTAGAGTTGCCCTCGGCTATTACCTCGGGCAACTCTTACGCTTCTTTCGTGCCCTCCAAACTTCCCGCGTGCTCCATAACTCGATAGTGCACGCTAAAGCATGAACCAATTGTTAAATGAATACCAAACCCGAAAAACCGAAGTTTTTTAGCACATCAACCGAAAGACCGATCATAAAGATAGCCAAAACCGTAAATCCCAATGCCCCCCTCAGTTTCGGACATTTCGATTAGCGTTTATTGTATGGTAATGGCCTATTTTAATTTATTGTGTTTCAGTTTTTACGAGCTTTCAAGTAATTAATAAACCCGAGAATGATAGATGCTTGGAGGTTCCGTTGATATAATACATTTCCCCGACGCGGCGTTGTTGAATTGATTTATGTCAGCGTCTGCCCCATTACAGTAGGATACATGCTCGCCAACTTAGCTGGGTAGCTGTATAAAGTGACTAGTGTCAAACTTTTATTTAATAGTTACGTTATTGCTGGACTGGACATGATCAGGGAAATGATCAAACGCTGGTGGATGCAACTGAAAGCTGCAACAAGTAAAGGTGTGGAGCCAGAGTGGCAAAGATGTAGCAGGTAAGTGAATTACTAGAGACAAGATTACTAAATGACAAGATTTTTTTTTAACCTGGAATTTTTATGTTTTGTTTTAGGAGTGTGAGTGGCATGTACGTGGCAATTGTTTCTCTTTCCGCCATCATTCTAAAAGTTTCTAATAAAAAAGGACCTGTAGGCGAGAAAGCTCTCGTAAGTATTGTTGCATTGATACTTAATTGAAGAAGAGAATAACACTGATATCAAGTAGAAAGATGAGAGATGTTTTGAGTTCTCAAAAGCGTACTTTGAAGTGACCAGTGTTAGCAAAAGGATAAAGGTATTGGGAGTTTGTGAACTTGGACATTGGAACGCGCCTGTAATTACTCCCAAATTTTACTCGTCGCCATTTCATTGGCTGACAAACAACCTGCATTTTCAATAATGTTCCACTGACTTCCTGAAATTGCAAACTTTTCTTTGAAAGTTTCCATAAAATTGGTGTTTTAAAAAGATCAATTGAAGCAAGAAAGAAATAACGAAAAAGGAACACACTGATAAGGATCTGTTAATAACTAAGGAACAAGTACTTGTAGTTTTAATCGACGGCCCCCTGGGTTAGCAGGTTCTATATAGACACTTCAGGGTGCGTCCTTAGTAACCAGTCACCTCGCTACTAAGCAATGTTGCCACCAACCTAGCCGCCACCACAAGACTACCTCGCCACCAACCACAAACGAAGAGAAAAACTGGTAAAGTAGTCGATTCTATTCAGATATTCGAGTTCCTAGCTCTTTGTGGTCGAAGGGGATTCGATTTGATACGCATTTAAGTTGATTCAACACGATTCGATACCAGGGACTCGAAACCAATTTTTTAAAAGTAGTTTCACTACAGAAACTTTACAAACCACTGTGCGACATACACTGCACGACCATACGATTTTTAATGTGTATCACATCAACTTCGAATTTGAAACAACCTACAAACTCGAATGGCCACTTTACTTGTTATCTCTTCGTTTGTGGTTGGTGGCGACGTGACTTCTCTTAGTGGCGACGTGACTTCGCCTAGTGGCGACTTAGTTTGTGGCGAGTTGGTCTCGTGTTGGCGACGTGGTTGGTAACCTTGTCTTTCCATTTCGTGACATCTCGACTCTCTTCTCATCTCTTGTCTTCAAGTTAGCGGACAGGGTGTTATTTAGATTACAAACAGTATCTCTTTTTCGGCGAAGTCCGTAGCACGATTAAAAAACGCAGGGGAAAAGATTGATGCTAGGATGCCACGGGGACCTCCACGGAACGCCGTGGGAGCTCAATGAGTGAGGCGCTTTTTCGAGCGCCTCACCCATGGAGCTCCCGCAGCACATCGATGTTCGCGCGACGGACTTCGGCGAAAAGGAGAGACTGCTCGTGGTAAAGGTTTTATCGTACGCTCATTCCTTGCAGGTTGTCACCAGGTTGTTAGATCTACTATAAAATTATGTGTAACTGAGTAGAGCGACGATAAAAATTGTACTTAGGCTGATGAACATTGAATGGTGTGAACTATTAACGAATGCTCTTTATTTGTTTTATCTATTATTTATTTGTTTCCAATATCTTAAAACTTACCTTATTTCTATTTTCAAATTTACAAAGGGATACTGTATTAAAAGTTGTGCTTAAAACTAGTTCTCAGTTCTTTCAATGAGTTATGTTTGTAATAAAATATTTGACATTTTAAATTGACTCGAGTTATTTCCGTTCTTCAGAGCTTTGAAAAGCCCTTTAAGAGCGACTTTTTTTCAAGACCGCGTGAGAGGTGGCACATGGACCGAAAAATGACTATCCTCATATTTCAGTAAGAGACACCATTTAGTGAACATAGAAACGTGGTGAGGTTTTTTCTCCCAGACTTGCTTCTTTATCCTAGAAAATTAAAAAAAAACTGAGACGAGCGTCGGTAGCCGTAAAACGGCGGAAATCAGTGCCCCGAGTAGAGGCAAATGAACTTTGCTCATGAAAAGCGCAAAAGAAAACAAGCTCGTGTCAATTTTATAAATTTGTACAGGAAGGATAGAGGTATGGTTTAAGTCTAAAACGGGACCATTTCATTTCATTTAGAGCTCACGGGACGCTTTTGAAAATCACCAATATTTCAAAATCCAAATATCCCATTTCTTAACAATTTTTCAACTATCATTTTCCCCATGCGGTATAACTCAGAATCGGTTCAAGTTAAGCCCATGATAAGTGGAATCAGTGTTGTTTTCGAGGATATAAACATTAGTTTGGGGCTTTTCATTCCTGCATGGAAAAACCACGCTGAACTTTGTGAAAATCGCGACATCGGCATTTACATCACGACATAATCTAATTAGGCACCATGTGCTTAACTCCGGAATTCCAAGCACATTTTAGCAGTTAGCACCGTGTTCGATCAGGAAATCAATACAATAAGCGAGCCTTGCATAACTAACGACGACATATTGGTTCTTATCCCTGCTTTCGTTTCAAATTCTCATCCATTTTCCATGGCGAAATTGTTAACAATATCACATTCCGTAAGCTAACGGAGGGCGTCTGTTTTTCTTGGTATATTCGAACACATTTAAGTTTTTAAAAAGTTGTGGGGTAAAATTGAGCTTCATGGTGGACTCGAAAGAGGACAATTCAATCCTTTATACCGGTAGGTTAAAGGTTCTTTGCCGAAGACGTTGAAGATGGGAAGCAGTCTGATACTGCTGTAGATATAACATACTGAAGCGTTTGTCACGCAAGGCTGAAATTATTTCCGAATCCCAAAAAAAACATTTTCTTTTTCCCCTCTTGCGGTTTTTCGCCCCGAAAATCACGGATAATAATATGTAATTAACACTAGTTCATCAGACAATAGAATATGTTACCTTGGAAGAGTTTGTCAATGAAAAGCAGAGGTGCAACTGTAGGAGGACTCACCTCTGCTCCGTTGAAAACCCCTTTGGTAACTGTTTTTAACCGAAAATAACTAGACTCAGTCGTGAGTGAATGAAGACACTGTGGCAGGGTTTGATTATCAAAGAGATGGCATCGCTAGACGGAGGGATACTAAAATTATGCTAGAAGAAAAAATGTTGCGTTGATCAATTGAATTTCATTACCTCCCCTCAGGAATTTCAGCTTTTGAAGATTGGTTCCCGCACCCCCCCCCCGGGCCAAAATCATGTCCCAATGCCCTGCCCAAGTGCTAGATTTTAGTGGGTCTCAACGGAGTTAACAGTTAGCCGTAAGATAGCAAAAATATTTGCCGTTAGGCGTAAAAATTAACAAATTTCAACCGTCAGTCGTAAAAAAAAAGACGTTGGAGACCCTCATTTGATTGTCACACCTGTTGTGAAAGGCAAGATCGGCGACTGACTTCCTATTTATTGACCAGCAATTTATTTGACTATTCAAACTTCAAAACCCAAAAAGCCACCAGTATTCTACTGGAAAGACTTGACCCTTCTAGTCCCAATTCTCTTCCCACCATAGTTGGTAAGGTTCAAGGGATGACAGTCAACAGCCTTGGGGTTGCCCCAGATGTTAAGTTGAGAATTAATCGGTGTACAACATCACTGACACCGATTCAACAGTTTTTGAACGTCAAAATCTAATAAAAGGAATGTCAGTAAGCAAAAATAATTCGATTGATTTAACGACCACACCTACATAAAAAAAGACAAACTTAATCATGAGTGACTCTTTCTCTACAATGAATTTCGAGCAGAAAAACGGAAGCACGAGGTAAAACGGTTGCAAGGACATGTATTTTTTAAAAAAAAAAACAGTGAGAAAATAAAATTATGATGAAAATACCTCGAACTTGAAGGTTATAACAACTTATTATATTGCAGGACAGTCTTGTGGTAAATCTGAGCTTTCTGATTAGTTCTTACTTGATCGGGATTTTGCCATACGGACCGTTTCCACGGAAGCGATCATAAGGCGTGTGTTTTAGTTTGCGAAAGCCAGAAAATTAAAAATTGATAAAATGTTTTCCCGAGTGCCATATTATAAAATACTTAGTAACATCACTTATTCGGGCTGTATTGGGGAATATTGGTCTCCGGTCGTTTCTGTACGGACCTCGCTGCGCTCGTTCCGTACTGCCACGATTTCGGGCCAATAATCGTCAGTACAGCCCTCGGGCTAAGTTACTATGTTATTCTTTGTGGCAACACAGGGGGCTCATACAACCTGTTCGTGTAGCCGACGGTTGTTTTATAGTGAATGTACCAGATTTACCGTTTGCCTCACCTAGAGTGATATATTGCTGACTATGTACATAAATCATTGATAAATAAACGTTGAATTACTTTACCTGTGGTGCACAGTCGTCCTTTTGCCCTCCAAAAATTTTTTTTTAGCGATTTTGAGTAAGTCTGATTTCGTCGTTAATGTAATGCATTAGAGAAAGACAAGGGTGGAAGCCTTGTTTTGAAAGGGTTCAAGCGCCCGAGCGATTTTGACCCCAAAAATCGCATCGCTCCGCTTTCAAACTTCCCAGCATCGAGGTCAAAAGATACACAATTCTCCTCATACCTTCCAATCGAAAATCCATCCAAACGGACCGGAGTTAGCTCTCGAAGAAAATCAAAATCCCACAGTATTTTAGCGTCTGGAATGCGTAGCAAGATTCTCATGTGCCAGCCAGAAACCGTCACGTTGATTGCCCTTTTCTGATTGGACGACGTTAAACGATGACCAATTCAAAATATCTAACGAGGGTGGGGCACCATTGGCGTTTAGTGACCCTTCAACTGTTTATCCACCAGACTCGGGTCGTGTGTCTTAACGCTCACCTGAAGCAACTTACATTTTCGCCCATTGTTCGCATCTCCTTCATCAATTGTGTCAAAAGTAAACAGGTCACCCGGCAACATAAACAGCACCTGTGAATTAAAAAATTGTACTGGTAAGCGCCGGAAGAAAATATGAGTCGCTGTTTCTTTCATCTGAAAGAGGCCGAGTTAGGCTTTTGACGAAAGCATAGGAAATATCGCTGCACTTTCCCATGCGCACTTCTCGCAGACAGGCGACGAATGGCTAGGCCTTGTCACGGTTTTCGGCGCCATCTTTATATGAAGGTAGATCCTGGACAAAATGTTCGATTCGTCGTTTCGTTATGGCGTTTCGTCGTTTCGTTATGTCGTTTCGTCGTTTCGACTTGTCCACTAAACAGAAGCTATAATTCAACCAAAATTGCATGAAGAATTACTTGATTCCATACGCTCTTACATGAGTCATCAATGTGGTATCTATAATTTGCTCTCTGCTGAAGGAAATGGATCCTTTGAAGAGCGACTTACGCCACAGCATAGAATTCGTCTTGAGTCGAGGAAATGATGTTTTCATGAAAGTGACAATGGAATTGGAAACCTAGTTACACACCTTGACAGAGTCTTCTATATTCTAGCTCGTGCATCTTCGTTATTTAACATTCCTCCTCAGCTGGAGTGTTTGTTACAAAGAGCTTGTTTGTTGTTCTTGGTGGCAGTGACAACTCATTGCAAAGGCGGTTGTTTAAGTTTACAGGATGCAGGGGTCGTCGGAGCGAATAGGGCTAACGCTCGAAACGTCAGCTTTTGTAATCATTACGGTGGCCAATTTACCATTTCAACTTTGTTGATATATCCAAATTATATCCTGGAACAGTACCTTGGGAACAAATTTAGACATATTTAAATTCGAGATGATAGTTGATGGTAGTTTTTGGCGTTTGAACGAGCGGATGATAATGCATGATTCCGACGTTTTGAGCGTTAGCACTTCATCGTACAGCGAATAGAATGGGTGGGTTACTTTTCATCATCTTTTTTTCACGGTAGGAGAGACTCGACATTAGCACTCAATTCTAATTTTAGTAGTACATGTTACGTTTTAATTCAAGTAATTAAAAGATTTAGACCCTCAACTAAAGCACGGCTTTATTGAGGCTTTTATTATGCCACACTTCCACTACAAAAGCACTGTGCTAGGAATTGGGAAAAATCTAGAACTCCTTAATAAACATGTTTTACTAATAATCCTTGGTGAAAAAGTCGGTACATAAGAGGTGCTTTTGAAAAGTCCAAACCTTGTCAGCTTGAGAATGAAAAGACTTTTTCATATATTGATTTTTGTTCACAAGTCATTTTGAGCAGCCGCAACTGCCTATGTAGCAGCATTATTTACAACGAGAACCAACATTAATGGGCCTAGAGGTATAAACAGGTTGCAGTTACCATGTGTATAAATACTACATATTATGGAAAAACTCTTTTAAATTTCTTGCGCCCAAATTATGGAATTTGTTTTTTTAGAAACAACTGCCTAGACTTTACAAGCATATATACATCTGTTCTCTTTTTCTTTTTCTTCATTAATTGTACATATATTTTTCACTCTATTTATTTCTCAGAGAAGTGCTTGTACACTATTCTTCAATCCAAGTTAAAATAAAGTTTTACTACTACTACTACTGCTACTACTACTACTACTACTACAAATGGAAATCTCTCATTTGGTCTCTTTGGTTGGCATTAGGGGAGTTTCAAGCCAAATGGTAATCTGATATGTTTTCAAACTTGATTAATTCATATAAGTAAAATCAAAGCATGCCTTTTTTGCTTTTGAAGTTTTGCAAATGTTTCATACCTTTCAGTGACTACATGTCAAATTATGTCAACACTGTCACTACTAGACTGTGTTCAAGGTGAGTCAGCCAAGTCATTTAAGA